TCTCTCTCTCCCCCTTCCACTATCTCTGAAAAGCAATGGGGGAAAAAATATCCTCAGGTTAGGATTAAAAGAACAGAAAGAAAAAAACAATCCCATTTACAATTGCATTGGAAAGAATAAAATACTTAGAAATAAATTTACTCAATATGGTAAAAGACCTGTACTCAGAAAACTATCAGACATTGAAGAAATAAACTGAAGAAGATACAAACAAGTGGAAGCATATACCTTGTTAATGGATGGAAAGAATTAACACCATTAAAATGCCCACACTACCCAAAGCAATCTATAGATTCAGTGCAATCCCTATCAAAATACCAATGATATTTTTCAAAGAACTGGAACAAATAATCTAAAATTTATATGGGACCACAAAAGACCCTGAATACCCACAGCAATATTGAGAAAGAAGAACTAAGTTTGAGGTATCACACTACCTAATATCAAACTATACAAGGCCATTGTAATCAAAACAGCATGGTACTACCATAAAAATAGACACATAGACACACAGATTAATGGACCAGAATAGAGAGTCCAGATATAAACCTATACCTATATTGTCAATTAATCTATGACAAAGGAAATAAGAATATATAATGGGGTAAAGGTAGCCTCTTCAATAAGTTATTTTGAGAAAACTGAAGAGATACACTCAAAAGAATGAAATTGAAATACTTTCTTATACCACTTACAAAAATAAACTCAAAATGGATTAAAGATTTAAATGTAAGACCCTAAATCATAAAACTCCTAGAAGAAAACAGTCAGTATGCTCTTTGACATTGCTCTTAGTAATATTTTTTTGGATATGTCTTTTTGAGTAAGGGAAACAAAGCAAAAATAAACAAATGGGGCTGCATCAAACTAAAAAGTTTTGCACAGTGAAGGAAACCATCAACAAAATGAAAAAATAATCTACTAAATGGAGGAAGATATTCACCAACAATACATCTGATAAGGAGTTAATATCCAAAATTTATAAGAAACTCATACAACCTAACACACACACACACACACGAAATTTGATTTTTAAAAATTGGCAGAGGACCTGAATAGACATTTCTCTTAAGAGAACATACAGACTACCAATAGACATATGAAATGCTCAACATCACTAATAATCAGGGAAATGCAAATTAAAATCACTGTGAGATGTGATTTCATACCTCTCAGGATGGCTACCATCAATAAGTCAACAAACAAGTGCTAGCAAGGATGTGGAGAAAAGGGAACCCTCACACATTGTTGGTGGGATGGCAAACTGGTGCAGCCACTATGGAAAACAACATGAAGTTCACTTAAAAAATTAAAAATAGAACTACATATGACTCAGCAATTCCACTTCTGGTATTTCTCTGAATCTATAGATTGCTTTGGGTGGAAATCTAAAACGCCAATTCAAAAACATATATGCACCCCTCTGTTCAATGCAGCATTATTTACAACAGCCAAGAGATGGAAGCAACCTAGGTTTACATCAATGGATGAGTGGATAAAGACGATGTAATACCTATATAAAATGGAATATCACAAAGCCATTAAAAAAAAGAGTGAAATCTTGACATTTGCAACAACATGGATGGACCTAGATGGTATTATGCTAAGTGAAATAAGTCAGACGAAGACAAATACTGTATGGTTTCACTTATCTGTGGAATCTAAAAAACAAAATATGAATCAACAAAACAGAAACAAACTAAGATACAGAGATACAGAGAACATATTGATGGTTGTCAGACAGGAGGCAGGTGGGGAAGTCCTGGGTGAAAAAGGTGAAGGGATTAAGAAGTACGAATCTCCAGTAATAAAAACACTCATGGGGATGAAAAATACAAGATGGGGAATATAGTCAGCAATATTGTAATAACTATGTATGGTGCCATGTGGTTAGTAGGCTTATTGGGGGGATCACTTCATAAGTTATTAAGCATTTAATCACTACATTCTATACCTGAAACTCATATAATATTGTATGCCAACTGTAATTGAATTTTTTTTTAATTTAGAAAAAGGCTCTCAGTGATCAGGTCTTTTCTTCTCCTGCTTCCTTTTTGCCTGCAGACTTCTGGGTATTTTTCATATTTTCTCTTTTTTATCCTGTGATGACCTCCATTCATTTGCCTGGGCTCTTGACTTCCCACTTTGAAGACCCTCCTTATTTAGTCCTGGTGCCTGGCCTCACTCAGAAACCATGCAGGTGGCTTACCTGGACCTGCTTCCAAGCCTTTGTGCTCTGATCCATGGTATCTTGTTTCAGCCTTCCTGGTCTTCTGTCTCCTGAGCTCTGGTTGGAGGGCCACTTGGCTCCTGAAATTGTTCTCACAGAAATATGTGCATTGCTTGGGGTGCTGTCCACAGATGGAGGCACAGCTGATGCAGTCCCTCAGGAGCTGGTCATAGTATTGTCCTTGCTCTTTGCGGCAACTGAAGGACTCTAGGAGACAGAAATGAGTGATGTTAGTAGGTGACAGAGGCCTGTAGGAACTGTAGGTCTGGCCTCAAAGGGTATCAAAGATGAAAAAAATTGCAATCTTCTTGGCCAGGCATGGCTTAGCAGTTGAGCATAAACCTAGGGTCCAGGAGGTCATGGTTTGATTCCTGGTCAGGGCACATGCCCAGGTTATGGGCTTGATCCCCAGTTGAGTGCATGCAGGAAGCAGCTGATCAATGACAACTCTCTCATCACTGATATTTCTATCTCTCTCTCTCTCCCTCTCCCTTCCTCTCTGAAATCAATAAAGGTATATTTAAAAAAAAATAGCAATCTAATTTCCCAAAAGCATTTCCTTGGTAATCTGAGTCCTTTTCCAATATGCAAATGTACGGCTATACATTGTCCTCTAAATACTGTTTTAGCCAAATCACACAAATTCTGATATGTAGTACTTTTAATATCTAGTTCTAAATGTTTTTACTTTTCATTGTTATTTCTTCTTTGCCCTATAGATTATTTAGAAGTGCATTTTTAATTTCTATACATATAAGAATTTTTCATTTATCTTTTAAAATTGATATGTAGGTGACTACATTGTCACTAAAGTTCTTTACTTGCATTTTTCAAGCCTCATAAAGAAGAAACATATTTCATGTCAACATAGGATTGGAGAGGGAAACCAGCATCTGCCTTGGCAAGTTGGGAGAGGAGGCTGGAAAGAAGGTGGGAAAGCTCAAAAAAATTAATGTTTCTTCTGTCTTAATAAACGAGAATTATAGGAGTATAAACAGGTATCAGTGCCCAGGAGCAGAAGCCAAGCAAAATAAGCTTAATCACACTGCATTCAGAGAGCAAGTCTGAGCACCTAGCAAATCTCCACTTTCACAGGCAGCTTTCCATTGTCTTTAAAATAAGATTTTATTTATATAAAAATGCGACTCACACAGGAGATTCTCAGGGCACATTTCAGAGGCCTTGCAAGGCAGTGGCTAACAGCACAGACTTCAAGGCCAAGTGGTTCTACTACTTGCAGGTTGTGGGGTCTTAATCAATAAGGGCCTCAGTCTCCTCATTTCTAAGAGAGGAGTAACAACAATGTTGACTTCTTAAGGTTATTATGAGGATTTGAATTTCCCAGCACAATACCAGACATACACATAAATGCTCAGCTAGTGGAAGGTTTGTGTAGAATATTCATTTGTGCCTCTTTGCAACACAAACACACCAACATTTATGCCCCTGACAAAGCAAAGAAAAAGGCCATGATGATGGTGAAATTGGGATCTCAAGGGAGTCTTAGATGGCCCCGATAGTACCAGTGGCCTCCTCATCCTGGCACTGCCGTGGCCCCTGAGCCTCACGGGACCACTGACACTACCACTCCCAATGGAGTTAACCTGATGGTAGTGGTATTCCTGGGGTTTCTTGTGACCTCCTCCCCTTCTCAGAGACCCCAGTGTGGCTGTTGCAGGTGGTGTCTGAGCTCCTCGAACCACCAACCCTCACTACCTGGCCTCACGAACCTTTTCCTCTAGGGCTGATCTCCCCTATTGTGCTTTCCCATGGCCATGCGTTTGCCCACACTCTACCTCTCCCAGGAGTGCCATTCCCCTCATCTGACTTTCACATCTACAAATTATTAACAATCCGTTTCAGACGGCACTTCCTCCCAGAACAATTCCTGCTCCCCAACCTTCATCAGCTGGAGCTGGTTTCCCCCAACTGTGGCATTTTATGGTACTTTATACACTAAAATGTAGTCTTTTCTCCCATTAGATGATAACCTTCTGTTACTGGGTCATGTGAAGTTCCTATTTTAAAGGGGCTGGAGGATTCTGTGAGTACTTGCAGAACGACAAATGAGTGTTCTACTTGATTAATGGATAGTGGCTCACAGTCGTGGTTTTGGAGTCAGAGAGTTCTGATTCAAATCCTAACTATTCCACTATTGTGCTGTGGGATCTTAGTGACTGTGCAAGTCACTAAGCCTGGCTGAGCTCCACTCAACAAGTATTTATGAAGCATTTACTATGTGTCAGGCACTGTGCTAAGTTCAAGTAAGGAAAGGAGCTCACAGTCTGGTGGTTGAAACAGACAGGAAACAAAGACACAGGAAAAGACATAACACAAATTGTGAGAAGCTCCATTAAGGAAAAGAACAAGTTATGGAAAGAACAGCAAGCAAAATGTATTTTTCAAGACAGCCAGAGAAAATCGAATACGGCCTCAGTAAAGGCAACATTAAGGGATTATTGCTGGGGTGAGAAGATATTGAGAGTACATTTTAAAGGCCCTATATGTTAGGGATTCATGATCTAGTATTTACAGGTAAGTGATATGAGTTTTTGGGTTTACTTTAAAATACAGAAGCAAAAAATTGGTTGGGGAATAAAAAGCAGAATTGTTAAAGCTGATGATGGGGAAACGGGGTTTGTTATGTTATGCTCTCTGTGCTTCAGAATTCCTATAACGAAAACTTCCAGAAGAAGAGAAGAACAGAGGACAAGGGAGCCTGATTCCACTGGGCAGTCAGAGAAGGCCTCTGACATTTGGGCTGAGACCTTAGGTTGGGCTGGAGGAGCCAAGGAGCGAGAGCGAGGAAGCGCTTTCCACACAGAAGGCACAGCATGTGCTAAGGCCCGAGGCAGGACAGGACCCAGCATGCTCAAGAAACTGCACACGAAGAGGAAAGGGTGGCCAGAACAACAGGATGGAAGGGTAAAGGGACACCACATTGAATATCCCCTTCTACCAACCCCTCCTCAGGCACCCAAATGCAGTGGGACCAGAGGGACCGTTGGGAGGTAAGGAAGGGGTGACCCAGCCATCCCCTTGGCTCAGGACCCAGAACTCACTGCAGAAGGCTGTACAGGGACGTGGAATGTGATGGCTGCAGATGGATCTGCAGGAGAGGCAGACATTCAGCAGGGGATCCCAATATTGCTCTTCAGGGCACTGCTCCATGGTCACCCCATCTGCAGGTCCTGTGGAGCTGAGAGGCAGGGAGCATGAGGGCAGCTGGCACCCCACTGGAGGCTGGAACCCAGACCCTGTCTCAGTCAGCAGAAGGGGAACAGACAAAACTGGCTTCAGCCCCAGCGCACTTGCTGGGGGACCATGGGCAGACCCCTGGCCTCCCTGAGCCTGAGTCTTCTGATCTGTGAAAATGCCTGTCTGAGGCCTCCTTACTTGATTCAGCTGTGCTCTGCTTGACGCTGTTCTGTCTTCTTTAATTTGTTTTTTAAGAGAGAGGAAGGGGGAGGGAGAGAGATGGAGAAAAAGAAAAAAGGAAACATTGATGTGAGAGGAACATCAATTGATTCCCTCCCACATGTGCCCCAACCAGGTATTGAACCTACAACCTAGGTATGTGTCCTGACTGGGAATTGAACCCACAGCTTTTCAGTGCATGGGATGACACCCAACCAACTGAGCCACACCAGCCAGGGCCAGGGCATCTGCCCTCTTTAATGTGCCATGCCTCTTTCTACCACAGGATCTTTTAAAATTTTGTCTTGTTAATCCTCACTGGAGGATATTTTTCCATTAATTTTTAGAGAGAGTGGAAGGGAGGGGTGAGGGGAGAGAGAGACATCGATGTGAGAGAGACATATATAGGTTGGTTGCCTCCGGCACGTGCCCCAACTGGGGCTGGGGATTGAACCTGCAACCCAGGTCATTTCCTTGATTGGGAATCGACCCCGAGACCCTTCGGTGCCCTGGCCCACGCTCTAACCACTGAACACACTGGCCAGGGCTGTCACAGGATCTTTACACGTGCTGTTCCATTTATATAAAATGTCCTCTGCCCTCCTCCTCAGCTGGTTATTTCCTCCTCACCCTTTAGATCTGTTTCCACTTCATTTCCTCAGAGAAGCCTTTCTGGTGCCTACCAGAGGAGACACCCCTTCTGCACACTGATGGGCCCTTTGGTTGTCACTGCACCTTCAGGAGTGCAATTATTTGATATTGTCTTCCCCATTAACTGTGAGCATCATGCAGGCAGGGGCTCTAATTTTTTGCTCACTGCTGGGTGGTGAGAACCTAGACAGTGCCTAGGACACAGTAGGTTCTCATTGAATGAATAAATAAAAAGAAAAGCAGACCTAGTTAGTCCTAGTACACAGCAAGCACTGAATAAATCAAAATTTCCCTCCATTTTTCTTTTTTACTGAGTTATGAGACACATGCAATGTTATGTGTAACATACACAAATGTTAAGTGTACAGCTTTATATATTCTTCCTTGTGTACACAGTGGCCTCTTTTTCTGTGGGGGATACATTCCAGGACCCCCAGTGGATGCCTGAAACTTCAGAGAATACCAAACCTTATATATACTGTTTTACAGTAAGAGATTAACAACAACAACTAATAGTGAAATAGAACAACTATCACAATATACTGTAATAAAAGTTATGTCAATGTTGTCTCTCAAAATATTTATTCTACTGTATTCACCTTTTCTTTTTAAAACATATATTTTTATTGAGAGAGAGGAAGGGAGAGGAAGAGAGAGACGGAAACATCAATGGTGAGAGAATCATTGATTGGCTGCCTCCTGCTCGCCCCCTGCTGAGGATGGAGCCAGCAACTGGGCATGTGCCCTGACCGGAAATCAGACCCGAGACCTCTTGGTACATGGGTTGACGCTCAACCACTGAGCCACTCCTGGCCAGGCTGTATTCACCTTTTCATTAAAGAAAGCACTTTATGGCTTCTCTGTGGCAGATCTGAATGGCCAGCATCACAACCTTTGTGCTTTGTGGCCATTGTTAAATAAAATACAGGTGACTTGAACACAAGCACTGCAATACTGCAACAGTTGCTCTGATAACCGAGGAGGTGACAGTTACACAGATAACCAAAGTGACTAATGGGTGGGGAGCCTGTACAGCATGGAGACAAGGGGTGACTCATGTCCCAGCAGGATGGAGTGGGAGGGACAGTGTGAGATTTCATCAAGCTACTCAGAATGGTGCACAGTTAAAAACTTATGAATGGCTTATTTCTGGAATTTTCCATTTAACATTTTTGGACCATGGCTTGCTGGGGGTGGCTGAAGCTGCAAAAAACAAAACTGCAGATAAGGGAGGCTCTGTATATCTGTGTCACTACCACCCACATCAAGGTATAGACTATTCTGACTTTTATCACAATAGGTTGTTAATATTATCCTTTCCTGAACTTTTATGTCTGGTTACATTGGCTCCACGAGGGATCAGACACTCTTCCCTGCTGAGGGTCTGTCGGCAGTGTTTCATATGGTGGGTTTTCCATTGCATGAATGCGTCACCTCTTCCATAATATCCTGTCTGATTTCATGACATTTGCCTCCCAACAGCTTCTCTTTTTATTTTTAAAATATGTTTTTTATTGATTTCAGAGAGAGGAAGGAGAGGGAGAGAGAGAAACATCAATGATGAGAGTCATTGACCGGCTGCCTCTGCACGCCCCCGACTGGGGATCGAGCCCGCAGCCCAGGCCTGTGCCCTGACCGGGAATCAAACAGCAATCTCCTGTTTCATAGACAGATGCTCAGCCGCTGAGCAATGCCGGCTGGGCCAGCTTTCCCTTTTAAACATCCTGCAAGGCATTTGTTTATTATTATTTTTTAAAGAAAGTAAGCTGAGAAAATACCAGTGCCTCCTTATTTAACACATCAACTTAAACAAGTGGGTTTATCTTCCTTCCCTCTTGAAACCTTCCTAAGAGAACCAGAAAAAAATATTTGTCTTCAAAGATGAGAGAATGGATGAAGTTACTACAACAGGGGACAGATACCAGCAACATTTTGGAAGCTGGAAAGCAGATGGGCCAGGGTGAGTGATGTAAGGTTAAGAACTCTCTACTCTGATGCCCATGGGGGGGAAGGACACTGATTTGAGCCATGGAACCCCAGGAAGGGACCAAGGGACCATGGAACTGGAGGCACCAAGTATTTCTGACAGCGGGGAATGGGAGGGCAAAGCAAAGAAAACAGTATTGGTTAGATATTTATATAAAGAGGGCTTGCCCTCAGCCAGACTCTCATTCCCTGGCATGTAATGACCCCTTGCCCATCCAGGCAGAAGATCAGGGGCCTCAGACACAACTGAGGGTAGCAATAAGGTCACTATCCCCCAATCAATACTTAGAGAGTGTTGTGGTCAGGTTTTTAAAATGCCTTCTTTCCTATCCTACAACTGGCAGGAAATCAGCAGACTCTGCCCTGGGAAAACTGGCTCAAAGGAAAAGATCTGGAGGCACCAACTGGGAAATTCTCTCAAGAAAGTGACCAAGTTGCTGCATGATCACCCCAGAGTAAAGCTTCTTCATTAACAACCCTATCCGTTCACCCAGAACTTCCAATAAGCTATTACTGCCTCTGAATTATGAACTAACAGCCAAAGGCCACCTGATATTGAAGTACCACCTCTGCATGGAAGAGAATTCAAGCAAAACAATTAGAAGAAGTATGTGGGAATCAATACAAACAATGCAGGGAACAGAAGAAAAAGGAAAGAAATAAACAGCAACAACCAATATCCTCCAAAAGATAGAGAATTTTACATTCATGAAGAAGAATGGTGTACTACTTTAAAAGAAGAATATGCATAGAACAAATAAGAATTACTAGAAATTTAAAAATATGATGCTTATGCCAGGCTAGCATGGCTCAGCGGTTGAGCATCAACATATGATCCAGGAGATCAAGGTTCAATTCCTTATCAGGGCACATGCCCAGGATGCAGGCCCAATCCCTGGTAGGGGGCGTGCAGAAGGCAGCCAATTAATGACTCTCTCATCATTGATGTTTCTATCTCTCTCTCCCCCTCTCCCTTCCTCTCTCTGAAATCAATAAAGACATTTTAAAAAATATATGATGCTCAGAATAAACATCAGTAGAAGGGTTGTAAGATGTAATTGAAGAGATTTCCCAAAAAATAGGGAAAGAAAAGATTTTAAAAATTATGGAATCATTTCAAGAGGTCCAAAGGTTGACTAATGGGAATTCTGAGTAAACAGATTTAAAGGACTTTAGCTTCCATGCCCAGCAGGCGTGGCTCAATGTTTGAGCCGTGACCCATGAACCTGATGGTCACGATTCAATTCCCAATGAGGGCACATGTCTAGGTTGCAGGCTCCATCCTCAGTAGGAGGCATGCAGGAGGCAGCCAAATGATGATTCTCTCTCATCATTGATGTTTCTATCTCTCTCTCCCTCTTCCTTCCTCTCTCTCTGAAATAAATTAAAAAAAAAAAAGAACATTAGCTTCCAGATTCAAAGGGCCAATCAGGTGTCTGGCACAATAAATTCTCACAAACCAAGACCAATCATCATGAAATTTGAGAGCACCAGAGATTAAGACCAGATTCTAAAATCTCTTGAGAACAAGCAGTTACCCACAGAGTTTTGAGAATTTTGAGGAAGTAAGTGGACATTTAAGGATATTTTTGTCAGGTCACTGACAAAACTTCAGTGGCTGCACAAAAGAAATACATACTTTGCAAAAATAGTTTGGAAAAGTCACAAATGGACTCCAGTCCTCAACAAGAAACACACAGAAATCCCTGAGGAGTGGGAGAACTAGATTTCCAGAGTTACCACAACATAATACTCAAAATGTCTAGTTCCGAACAAACTTAGAAAGTATACAAAGAAACAGGAAAACATGGCACACTCACAGAAAGGAAAAAAAAAGAATTTGACAGAAATCATCCCTGAGGAAACCTAGACATTGGAAACTAAATCAAGTGTCTTTAATATGTTCAATAAACTAAAGGAAACCATGGACAAAGAATTAAAGGAAATCAGAAAAATATGTGTGAACAAAATGAGAATATGAATTTAGAGATAAAAGTTGCATAAAAGTAACCCAAACTTGTAAGCAACCAAGATTTCATCCAGTAGGTGAATGGATAAATAAACTTTGGTATATCCAAACAATGTAATTTATTCATCATTAAAGAAGGAAGGGGGGT